TTGTGAACCTCCATGTGCAGATTTCGTGGCAGGCACAGCACTTTGTGAACCTCCATGTGCAGATTTCGTGGCAGGCACAGCATCTGGGGAGCTGGAAGCTGAGAACTGGCGACTTTGTAGTACAACTTCAGTACGCGGAGCAATCTGTGGAGCTGGAAGCTGCGAACTGGCGACTTTCTAGTACAACTTTAGTCCGCGGAGCAATCTGTGCAGCTAGAAGCTGAGAACTGGCGACTTTGTAGTACAACTTTAGTACGCGGAGTATCTGTGGAGCCGGAAGCTGAGAACTGGCGACTTTCTAGTACAACTCTAGTACGCGGAGCAATCTGTATGTAGAGCTGGAAGCTGAGAACTGGCGACTTTCTAGTACAACTTTAGTACGCGGAGCAATCTGTAGAGCTGGAAGCTGAGAACTGGCGACATTGTAGTACAACTTTAGTACGCGGAGTATCTGGCAAGCTGGGCGATGAGAACTGGCGACTTTGTAGTACAACTTCAGTACGCGGAGCAATCTGTGCAGCTAGAAGCTGAGAACTGGCGACTTCGTAGTACAACTTTAGTACACGGAGTATCTGGCGAGCTGGACGAGGAGAACTGGCGCTTTGTAGTACAACTTTAGTACGCGGAGCAATCTGTAGAGCTGGAAGCTGAGAACTGGCGACTTTGTAGTACAACTTTAGTACGATGAGTATCTGTGGAGCTGGATGGTGAGAACTGGCGACTTTCTAGTACAACTTTAGTACGCGGAGCAATCTGTAGATCTGGAAGCTGAGAACTGGCGACTTTGTAGTGCAACTTTAGCCCGCGGAGTATCTGGCAAGCTGGACGATGAGAACTGGCGACTTTGTAGTACAACTTCAGCACGCGGAGCAATCTGTGCAGCTAGAAGCTGAGGACTGGCGACTTCGTAGTACAACTAGAGTTGTACTGGCGAACAGTGTAGTACGCGGAGGAGTCATCTCTCGCTGCTCATTCATCTCTCGCTGCTGAGTCAGCTCTCGCTATAGCCATCTCTCGCGGCTGAGTCATCTCTCGCGACTGAGTCATCTCTCGTTGCTGAGTCATCTCTCGCGGCGTGCGCGTTCAGTTCATACTGATAGTATTTGGTTGCAGTTATGCAGGACAGGACATTCAACTGCTGGTCAAGACACCACTCATCATACACCACTCAACATACACCACTCATCATTCATCACTTGTCATACACCCCTCATCATACAAGACTCATCATACATAGTCTCAGAGTTCAAGACAGATTTTACATTCAAATTCGGATTCCATTCAGTCCGATGTGTGATATGCAAGGTTTGCCGCCACTGAAGAATGCCACGGTGGGATGTGTGTCGATGTGGACCGCATCCTTGGCAAGTCGTGGTGGCCGGATGTGTGTCATCTCGCGCAGGGGGCACACACACCTTACACACGTGGAATCCCGTGGGTCAAAAGTCCGGAGCGCGTGCGTTTGACTGGAGGACGCGCATGTTGGAGAGAACGTGGACACTCCTATAGGTCAATTTCTTCTTATAGGAAACTTGCGCCGCCGGCTTGCCCGGGAACTACTTGTATGTATGGACTAAACTTGTCTATACAGATTTCAATTGTCCCGCGATCAGCAAGGCTGCGTTTGCCTGCTTCCTCACAAATCTGTTGCGTGAAACGGTTGCTGCTCAACTCCAGTCCTTGGGTTTCCTATTCTGCAGCCTCTGTCGAGCAAAGTGCAAGGCAAAACGACCATCAGCGCTGAGGCTGAAGGGATCTGCGCGCAGCGATGGGTGTCGAGACCACCGGAAGTCCTTGGCATCAGCCACATCAAAATGGCCACATGTCCCTATACTATACCGAGTGCATATTGTCTGATGAAGTTTTGCACCCAGTCATGTTTGTACAACATGCAAGTGTTCATGCCTTTGCGTGCAGCATGCCCTGGCACACGGTCGACGCGACGAGCAGCATATCGCATATACTGTGAAGAGGTAGGTTGTCCATGAAAAAAATGTATTGACTTACTGGCCGAGATTCCAAAAGGAGCCTACAGGTGTCCTCATGGCCGTTGGAAGCGGCCAACATCAGCGGCGTCAACTGACCTTCCGATGAAAGGTTGGGATTGCCCTCCGCGGCCATCAACTGGCAACAAATCCTCAGTGACAAGGTCCAAGGTGCCACGAAACAATTGGATTGAACAATCACAGAAGTGATCTTGCCTTGGTTACGATATGCGTTGGGATGAAAGTCTACCATGAAAAATGCACATTTGCAAAAAATGGTGCTCCTAAAAAAGGCATCGTTGAAACATCGTTGAGCAATGGTTGAGAAACGTGTGGCAAAAGGTAAGCGCATTCTCCACACACTTTGCCACAATTTTGGACCGTCGGAGCACCGTTGGCTTGTTTGGCAAAGAGTTTGGCAGGTTTGCCATGGTCCACAAACAATCTCTAGGTGGATTTTTTGTGGCGCAGTCGTTTCGCCACATAATACAGCAGTGACAGGATCAACGTCAATGTTAACGATCCAAACATCGATAGGCAACAAAGTGTATACTGGCCTTGCGCACATCGTGGTGCATCTCCAGCTGTGCCCTAACTAGGTACACTCGCCATACATGGCCGCGTGTTTTTGTGGGCATACCCCAGAATCCATGACCTGATTGTTTTCAGTGGAACGCAGCTCCTGACTATGGTGAAGGAATGCGGGCTCGGAAACTCAAAAGACCTGCGCTTCAAAGGGTTCTTTGTAACTTGCCTGAGCCTAACGGCGTGCTGACCTTTTTCTCCCCTGCCTGTCAGGTGAGGGTTGTTTCTGTTTTACGTCAGCTGCATTCCGCCGCTGCCTCCTCCTCGCCCGTCTCCTTCTCACCTTATATAACCGCAAGTGCAGGATGGCAGTGTTCCCCGCCGGGCCACAGCCGGGCCGCCAACGCCAGATCGCCGGACCTCATCCGCCAGCTCCCGAGCGCACTGGGCGCGGCCGGACCGCAACCAACACGCAACCACAAACACACAACCAAACACACAACCACAAACACACAGCCACAAACACACAGCCACAAACACACAACATCAAACACACAACCACAAACACACAGCCACAAGCACAAACACACACACACACAACCACAAACACACAACGACAAACACACAACCACAAACACAAACACACAACCACAAACACACAACCCACAAACACACAACCCCACAAACACACAACCCCACAAACACAAA